CGACCATAAGTCGCGGTTAGTGGAGGTTAATGGAGGACCAGTCAGAGGCCGAACTTAGCCACAACCAGCCGAGGACTAGCTCGGCGTGAATACCAAGAGATTGGTGAGCTAGGCGGAATACCAAGAGATTGATGAGTTAGGCGAATGGGAGCTAGGCGAGGATTTGTTAGGCGAAGACTAGCTCGGCGTGAGCTAGGCGGAATACCAAGAGATTGATGAGCTAGGCGAATGGGAGCTAGGCGAGGACTTGTTAGGCGAAGATTAGCTCGGCATGAGCTAGGCGAAATTCCAAGAGATTGATGAGCTAGGCGAATGGGAGCTAGGCGAGGACTAGCTAGGCGAAGACTAGCTCGGCGTGAGTTAGGCGGAATACCAAGAGATTGATGAGCTAGGCGAAGACTAGCTCGGCGTGAGTTAGACGGAATACCAAGAGATTGATGAGCTAGCCGAATGGGAGCTAGGCGGGGACTAGCTAGGCGAAGACTAACTTGATGTGAGCTAGGCGGAATACCAATAAATTGATGAGCTAGGCGGATGTGATCGCTTAGTGAGCTAGGCATCTTTGCATGAACCTAAACAATATATATTAATTTTTCAACTGTCATGCGGACTAATTTTCTACTGAAGCCAGATATACCACCAGCCCACCCACAGGGTACATATATGTGCACAGCCGCCACCTTATAATTATTCCAAAACCTCACGAATTTTCTCATGTATCTAGACAATCAGAATTAACCAAGCTACATACAATATATATGTAATTTTTCCACGTAGAAGCAAACTTTTACTTTCTTACCTTTAACACGTCACGTGCAACATTTTTCTTCCATTTACTGGACATATATTAATAATACAACATCAATCTATCCCTAGCTAACAAGTTACGTCATTCCAACGTATGATATATATACATAAATACCCTAGGTTTTGAGCTACTTCTTTTCAAGTTAATTTTGAAAAATTCACTTGGGACAAGCTATCATACATAATAAATTTATGCAGAATTGAGGTTTCGTTTTAGTTACGTACTGTATATAATGGATGAGAGCCAAATTCATCATCCTATGGTTTCTCTTAATCCTTCTTCTTCTTCTGCTTCTTCTTTCGGGGCGTATATACCAGCTTCGTTATCGATTTCGCCAAACGAGAACAACAAAACCGGAGATCGCTTGATGAATATTGGATTGCCAAACGAGATGATGAAATCATCGGTGGGGCCCACCGGCAAGATCAAGAAAGGCGAGAAGAAAGCAAGAAAGCCGAGATTCGCCTTTCAGACGAGGAGTCAAGTCGATATACTCGATGATGGATACCGGTGGAGAAAGTACGGGCAGAAGAAAGTGAAGAACAACAATTTCCCTAGGTATATATATCTATAAACGTATTTCTACCTTTTTTTTTTTTAATAAAATACTTAACTAATTATTTTGCTTACACATTCATGAAATTAAAGGTAAATTGTAGCTTTTTATGTAGTATATATACTGTCAAATTTATTTAGACGTACTCCTTAATTACCAATATTTGTGTACCTTACTCTTATACCGTAAATTCAAAGAAAAAATCACATGTTGCCATGTTGTGTGTGCTTAATGTGTACTAAATTCGGGCAATGAACGAGATCGATTATGTGTAAATTCGGTCACAATATTATAATTGGAAGGCATTGTACACACACATAAAAACGACCAACTGGTTAAGGAGCAACGATACTATCTGTACATTACATGTTGGATATAATAACTGTATGTTTACGTACATATATGTGTCTTTGGCTTATAAGATTCCAATTTGTACGGAAGTGAATAATGTAGAATGTAGTGCAGACGACAATCAGATTGAAGTTGGTAATTACAACTATTCTACATGTTACCTGATGTTAATATTTAGGCTAAATTGAACTTTTTGTCCGGTCGATTTAACGACATAGCAATTTTAACTCCAAGATTTCGTCTTTTGATCATGTGATTTAATATTTTGCTGCAATTGCAACACATTTCTAAATTAATATCTTTGGGATGATTTTTTTTATTAGAAAATTGATATCTTGCTGCAACTTCAGTTCTCAAATGACTGAAATTCTGCAAAATATTAAATTATATGACCAAAAAACGAAAAGTTGGAACAGTATGATTAAAATTGCTATGTCGACGTTAAACAAACAGTACTTAAAATGCATTTTTGTCTGTTGTTTATGTTGTAATGTTATTTATGTTGTAATGTAAGTTGATCATACGTCCATATATATTCTGGTTTTTGTAGAAGTTACTACAGGTGCACGCATGAAGGATGCAACGTAAAGAAGCAAGTGCAACGACTATCGAGAGATGAGAGTGTTGTAGTCACGACTTATGAAGGAGTGCACACGCATCCCGTGGAAAAACCCATCGAAAATTTCGAGCAAATCCTCAATCAGATGCATATCTATCCTATTGTGAATTAGCCATAACTATCCCTTTCAAAACATGATACTCATATTCAGACAGCAAATAATTATCTTGCAGCTATATATCATGTGATGAGAAAATTAATGGTGTTAGTTACCTCATCTTATGTGGGTTCTTGTAAAAAGTCTGAAAAATTTAGCTCCGAAGCTCTTAGGATGTAAGCATTCACAAAACTTTGATTAAGAGTGGCAATCTTTTGCTCTCTTATATGTGGCAAAGTCCTATGTATACTGCTGGAATAGCTTCAGTGTTGTGCATTTTGATTTTTATTCACCTATTCGTATGTTGTGCAGTGAGTTGAGATATGATTATGTGTTGATCTTTATTGTGTGTGTGTGTGTGTCCCATGAAAAGCTTCTCTTCATTTTCCATTTTTCGAATGTTATACAATATGAAAATGTGTTATAAAACAAAACCGAGAAAAAGCTTCACTCCGATTTTTGCTAGTGAGAACTGTACAGCAACTTTCACATTTTCACTCTATTTATGGACTCATCAATAGGTTTATGGACAGAAAAGCTTCATCGTAATGTGGACTAAAAACGTTTGATTTCAATATAGATTTCACCGAAACTCAACATCAAGAAGTCAAGAACTCAAAAAAAGAGCTGCCATGACCATTAAAACCACATAAACATCCTTCTGTACTTGTCCATTAAAAATGAAACTCGACTCAAAGGCACAAGAACTAGGCACAGAAAATTAGATATCATACGAAGATCACGCCCAGTTTAGTATAAAGAAGCGACTCGGGCGTATAAAAAAGAAAAAAACAGATAAAGTACTCTATCAGGTGGGAAAAAAGAATTGATAATTACAATATTGCATTCACTCAACCCAAAAAAAACAAACACTCCGGAAACGCATGGAATCAATCTCACCCTCAATTCCAAAGGCTGGCAACATATAGAAAAGTTCCCAAAAAAAAAAAGAGAACACAAGTTCGGATAATCCTACTTTCTAAGACTACTAGCAGCAGGACACGAGCACCAACAAAGGAACACATTGTTCTCGAATTGAGCTACAAGAGAAACAGGTCTAGTCTAGTGCTTGTCCCCCTTTGGAATATCTTTCTCGGGTATTTCTTTTGGTATGGCCTTCATTTCTCTGCAATTCGAGCAGACATTAATCACGGTTCAGTTTACACACGAGTACGAATGCTTCAAACTATCTACATAATCGAGCATTAACCGAAACAATCGCATAAATTAATGAACATTCAGAATGCAAGCTTATCCCAAGCCATTCACATTGAAAAACTAATTCCCTTTCTGTATTCCACACACACACACAAAGCAAAAAATCTAACTTGGCAAATTAGCATCACATTGTTCCGCATTTTCACTCATACAAACACAAATCACAACTTTTGACATAAAAAATGGAAACCCTCGCATTCGAGCCAGCTAATCAAGCGACAGATGCTTAATCAGTATAGACATATCAGTATATCACAATCAATAGCTCATAGACAATAAGAAGCATAAATAAAGATGAATAATAATTAATATTGATGGATATTAGAACGAAATTTGTTGTGAAGGTGCGTACTTTGCAGCTGAAGCAGACTCCTCCTCCAGCCAGTGGCGGATGTGGCGGACGTTGCGGCGGAAGATGGCGGCTGACTGCTTCACGTCGCTCCTCATTAGCAGCACCACCGCGCTAACTCCGGCGACGGTCAGGATGAAATTCGTCAACGCCATTTTCAGGTATCGATTATTTCAGCTCCCGTTGATTATTAGATCGTAAACGCTCAGATTCGTGTTGTAAAACGAAGCACGCGAAGAAAATCAAATCGAATTGCAGGGTTTAAGATAGATCGAGCACAAAGATTCTTGGGAAGGAAGAAATTGGGTGTGGACCACCTCTAAATCCATGTATCGAGCGCAGCCCATTCGTAATGGAGCAATGAATATTTAATGGGTTTATCTTGAGGCCCATGTGATATTTCTATTTGGGCTTTCTTTCTTATTCTCTTTCAAATTAACTAAAAGTGTTAAATAAATAAGTTTGATCTTATGAGTTATGAGAGGGGATTTTGGACTCCAACATTTATCAAGTTGAACCGTCAACCGAGCACAATCTGAATTAAATAATTAGATTTTAAACGACTAGAATTCATTAGTGAAATATGGCAACAGTCAGTGTACGCCGATCTCACGACGACACTGCCACGTCATGATAACCAACTATCCCAATGAGCTTATCCTAAAGCTATTGCATACGCCGATCTCACTCGCCATGCATATCTCCTGCAGCTCATCCCAGAATAATCACATATACCGAGCTCACTTGTCACGCATTTCCTGCCGAGCTCATCCCAGAATCATTACATATGCCGAGCTCACTCGTCACGATTTCCTGTCGAGCTCATCCCAGAATCATTACATATGCCGAGCTCACTCGTCATTATTTCCTGCCGAACTCATCCCAGAATCATTACATATGCCAAGCTCACTCGTCATGCATTTCCTGCCGAGCTCATCCCAGAATTATTACATATGTCGAACTCATTTACTCAGTTCGGCTCCCCGTCACCTGTTCTTTGCCGAGCTGGTTTATATATATACCCCTTTTGTTCCTAGGTAGTGTATGACATATCATGTAGCCCCCCAGTTTTGGGGATAAGCTTTCACGAATCACCCCAAAACTGCTTAGTTGTATAACACGCATCTCGGCATATCCAAAACCGTGGTTTTCTGATAACTGACTTGTGGCACCTCATAACCCGATTTCCTTTATTATTATTTATATTTTTTATTTTTATTTTTTTTTAACAGCCAGCCTGTTGGCTCGTCACGTCAACCCAGCTGCCCCTTCATCATTTGTACCTTTCGCATCACAGCTGTGTCAATAATAATGGTAGCGCCTCAAGGCTAGGCATGCGTGCCCTTAATCTAAGCCGTCGATCTGTACATAAGTGAATGGCCAAGATGAGCCGTCCGCAAAGCTGTTCTTCTATGCTATGCTTGCACCTCGACTTCAGTCGGCACAATAGCTGCTGGCCTGATGAATTCCTTTTCCTTCGGAGGGCGAATTGTGACGAGATCCGGAAGAGGGGTTGTGGGGCCTTGCTTTCCTTTGGGATCCCAGTCGAGCATGATCTTGACCTTACGCCAACTACCCCCTGTCTGAGCAGGACGTGCCTAACAACAGAGTCGATGTACTCCCTGAACATTCTGCGTGCGAGTTGCGCGGATGATAATCTCGGTTCTCACGGGAGTAACCCTGACCTCAACCCCAGAATATCCGTCCTCGGCCAGCTCACGAGTCAAAACCTCATTCAGCTCCGCAAAGAAAACCCCATCAGCAACAAACTTTCTCTTTTTGTTCATTTGAGTCGCCATTTTTGAGCTTATCACGACAGAAGCCGAGATCTGCAGGTAGATGAGTCGTCTTATTATCTTCCCTAGCTTCCTCCACACGCCATTAAATCTGCAAACATATTATGCCCCTCTTTTTCTTTTCCCTTCTTTTGTTGTCTCGTCTAAGCACCATTACTTAGTCGAGCTACCCTCCCCGCGTATTAGCCGAGCTGATTGCTCGGCGTGTGAACTGGGCAAATTACTCGGCATATAAGCCGAGCTGTCTATTCATCGAATTCACCAAGCTATTACTTCCAATTCACTCAGCGGGTCATCTATTTTTTCATATCGACCGAGTAGATTATTCAACCTCTATCCAAGCCCTCTACTTCGCCACATTGACCGAGCAGGTTATTTAACCTCTCAGCCAAGCCATCTGTTGACCGAGCAGCTCGCAAAAAGGCACCTTGAGAATCGTCATTGTCCTTCCCCATCATAATTGGGTCGCACTTGCTTCATTTTTAGTTCCGTTTATGCTATGTGCGAGTGTCTTGGCTTTTTCAGCCACCCCAAATACCGCACGTCGTGAGCTCGTCAGTCTTACCATCATCACAAGAGCTCGGCATATAGTCATCGCCCCCTTTAAACATCAACCGTCTCGGTATTTGATCGCATAAGTATCCACACCTCAATCGGCCAGTTTATGACCAAGGCATTGTCCGTGTGTCCCCTGCTCGGTATTTAAGCACATAAATATCCACAATAACAAAACCGCGTCATGCTGTTAACCGAGCTCCCTTATAATGTGCTAAAGAGCTGTCCATTAACCTTGTTAGCCGAGCTGTTTCTATCAAATCGTCACGAACAACTCATCTTATTTTATTAGCAACTGATTACACCACCATGTGAACCGAGCAGATTGTCCCGTCGATCGGCCGAGCTAATTGACTTTCCAAATCAAACATGTTGCTCACCCCATTCACTAGCCGAGCTAGTCGCACCGTTCCGCCTGACGAGCAGCTCGTCCCTCTTTGATCCAAGAATCTGTTAATTAACCGAGCACCTGTCTCGCCATGTCGACCGAGAAGGTGATGAAAAGAAACCTCGAGAATCACGCTTGTCTTTTTGAAAAGCTCGTCTCTGTCCTATATATTTTGAACTCATTTAATAGAATTAATTTTCTCCAAGTATGGATAGCTCGTATTTTTCCTCACACTTGGGAATGAATGTTCATCTATCATTTTTAACATCTTTTAAAAATATGAGAGAGAGATTCGTGTAATTTTATATGAAGAATATGACATATCTATATTTTCTTCATATTCTTTTTATTCTATCCGTCCTATGCTTCGTCATGAACTCCTGATCATATGAATAATATTAACCAAATATGTCCTTGTTACTTACAGAGGCTCTTTTCAGCTCGGCACTTTCTACGCCGAAGCATGCCGAGCAACCCGTTCATCCCACTCAACAGACCCAACCGACCATCGACTAGGCAGAACCCCCACACCGACCAACCAGTCCCCGAGATTCAAGGTAGGCGCAAAACTAACCGCCGTGACGACATGACCGTGGAAGAGGTGTCTTTGGCCTTGCCAACCGCGTTGGCCGATGTGGGGGTTGTTCCACTCGCCGACGCCGGCAATGCTAA